AAGTTTGCCTTGTACTTGGCGCCCCATTGAGTTCATGTCTCACAGAACGGCGACTCATTTCTCACTTCCCCTTTTTCCCACAGTGTGGTTCCTCTGCTCAGGGAATCCATAGGGATCTTGATGCAACGGACGCCTCCTTCTCTGGACCATGCCCTTCCTGAATGCTACCAAAGGGTGAGTTGCTTCCATGTTTTTCAAAGACGGCGTTTCACACAACTCTTAAATATACATTGTGGCAGAACAGCGGCAGTATTTGGCAAACTCGAACAAGATTAAGCTGAGTGACTTCTGTTATCACCTGAATATCACACATCGTTCAGCCAGTTAGATTTAAGAACCACAATGAACTGTTGTATAAATATATTTTCAGATGGTTACGAAACATTTCTAGATAATCAGTGAATTTGACCTCGACACTTTATTGGCTGTCAGAAATTCCTTAAATTCTGTTCGATTGGAACATTGTGACAAACTGGGGTCACGTTTACTAACCTGCAATGTTCTCCGCAGATTCAGCTGGGTGTCTGTTGTAGCAAATTTGTCCTGAAAGATAACTAACCATGCAGACACAATCAAAGAACTGGAATTTGACACCCCATTAAGAGTGTTTTGTTGAGTGTAGTCATTGTTCCACAATAGGGGCTTAATTTGAGCGCACTGCCCTCCCATTAGTGTGAGTGCACCTGTTTACATTCCTCTGTGACGGCTATAATTGACATGTTTGTTAATGTCATTTTATCTGTTGACCATTTAATGACAGTCAATCTTTCCCAACAGACTAACAAACCAAACTATTTATTTATAGTTAAAACACGCACTTGTTTTTCCATATTAACTGAAATTAAAAGCATTAACCTGTGCTATATATTTGTTTTCACAAGCTTTGGAGATGTAATGTAAATGACACTATTAAATAATAGGTCACCTATAGCTTTCGCCATGAGCCACTGCTGCGTTCAAAATGGCATAAATGTTTTCAAAATGCACTGCAAAGGAAACACAATTGTCAATATAAAGATCGCTTAAACTAAAGTGTAAAAATACTTCGAAATCAAATTAAGAGAGATCATTTTAATGTTTTGTTTAATATCATTCCAAGTTTAAATGTTGGAATGTTTGAAAGGAATAAGACTCTGCACGGGCCTGCCTCACAGCAAGAAGATTGCTGGTTTGTTATATTTTTATTAGCCTGTTGTTTACAGTGACAGTGATGTTTCAAAGCAGCATAACACTGCTAGTTCACAACCTTAAGTTTTGAATATTCAGTGGCACAATATATCTTTGTAAAACTTGTTTTCATAGTTGAAAAGTTAAATCACAATTATTGTTGTGCAATGCTAAACCTTTGTTTAAAGAGTGCAAATATATATAATTTAATATATATATTGCACTTATACATTCTTTTTATCTTGAAAATACTTAAATAATATGTTCTATATGTTCTAAAATGGCCCTCTACTGTAAACTGACACTCTGGCTCTGAGAGAAAAGCCAGTTTGTAAAAAAAGTCTTGGTTTTGCTTGGTTAATAAATAATCAAACTCATTCAATGGCACAGCATCCTCTTTCACATCATCTCATGAACTTGAACTAATTAGTTAGTGCTGAATTATCACATTGTATTGTGAATCGTATCGTGTTGCATCGCAATATGTCACAAATGTATCGCTAATATATCGAATCGTATTCTTAGTATCGAGATGCGTATCGGATCGGCATTATAGCTTAGATGCCCAACCCTACCAGGAACTATTGTTCTAACTACAGCTCTAGAGGTGTAGTTGCAAGAGTAAAAGTTTGTGAATGTGCGTTGGAACAATGGATTTGGCAAACACCAAATCAACGATCTGTTTGTAACGACTTAACTTGCAACCTTAGTTGGTTAACGATAGTTTTTGGTTGTTTTGGTGCAGATCTAACCAAGCTTATTTTAGTAAACTGAAATTAAGACTAAAACTATTACTTTACTGTAATTTAATGTAAAAATCACAATAAGTTAAAAACTAAACTAACAAAAAAACAAACTGAAAGTAAATAATTATCAAAAATAACTAATTGTTTGCACGCATTCTGTGGCAGAGAATTCAGAAATTTTCAGATTAAACTGAAGCATTTCTAGATTAGTGTTTCCCAACCCTGTTGCTGAAGGCACGCCAACAGTACACATCTTCAACCTCTTCCTATTTAGACACACCTGAATCAACTCATCACATAAGAAGAGACGCAAAACCTTGAAATGAATGGGTCAGATAAGAGACATTCAAAATATGTACTGTTGGTGTGCCTCCGGGAACAGAGTTGGGAAACACTGGTCTAGATGAACAACAAATGGATAAACTAGACACCATAAAGTCCATCAGAGCCTCTGTCTTCTAGCTTCCTAACTGGTTTGCTTTCCCTGCAGGTCCAGCAGCTTCAGGGTGTCTATAATCTTCAAGAGCCTCATTTCTGGACCCTTTGCACAGATGTGTATATCGGTACACTCAAACTCCTGGTGGCGCCTGACGCAGACTCTAGGTGGATCCTCAGCCAGACGCACAACATCTTCACACAGGTGGGACTTGATGGGAACTACTGCAGGAACATCTTGATCTTAACTCGTTTGATCTTCATCATGTGATGGTTTGGTGTCTGTGTGCAGGTCGGTGTCAGACAGCTGTATGTTCAGATTGAAGTGGCTGCAATGTAGGAGTCCACCACTCTTCTAATCTCTGGGAGTCCCGGGACCAAAGGCCTTCTGTGCTGCTGTGGGGAAGTTCTCCACCTCAACCCTCTTTGGGTTTCTGTCGCTCCACTTCTATCTTGGATCAAGATGGAGCTGGTGCCGTCCAGCAGTCTGACTCCACTCTTGCCAGAAAACATCAAACTGAAAACAACTGACCAGCCACAAAAAAAAAAGGTTTCAGAGGGAAGCAAGAACTTACACCCTCTCGTCTCTTGAAGTTTCCTGTTGATTTTTATTTTTATAATCCAACCAAACGGTTTCTTTTCTTCTAATTGTCGCCCTTTTCCATCATCAGAATGGGGTTTTAATTGTTGGTGCGAGTGTGGAGATCAGTGGACATTTGTAAAAACAGCCGTATGTGATTCATTGACTTCTTTTTGTACATGATCGTCTGCTTTTTGTTTTGTTTTTCGGTTGTGAAGAGGTGCAGAATTTGCCATAATGTAAACATATAAACAGATTTGTCTGCATTTCTTAAGTGCCTTTTTAAAAGAACGATTATGGACAATCGCCTGGGCAGTGTTTGATGGTCAACGTGAATGCGATGAAAACTGGATCTTTGAGTTCTGTCTACAATTAAAACATTCCTTTGCAATTTGGCTTTTTTTGTTTAATGAGGCGTCTAAAATGTATGTAAAGTTGCTCAGATATTTTCATGTAGACTTAGGCCCAATCCCAATTCTATTTATTTACCTTTACCCATTCCCCTTGGCTCTTGAAACAGAGTGTAAAGGGCAAGGGCTTTGAATTTTAGCTCTAAGAATGGGACAGCACTACAGCACCTGCACACGTCATCGCAATCTCTTACTATATATGAGTTTGGCGATCGCTACTGCTGTAGTTATTCAAGTTGTATTATTTTTTTTTTGGTGTTTATTATCAGGAAATAACCGAAGGCAACAATATCATGATATCATTACAATATTATGTGGCAATAAGTTCATAACTACTGTGCATTTACACCGTGGCCATATTCATCTATTTAAACACACGAAAACAACAATTAATTCCCAGCCACTAGACTATTCTGACAGCATTCCAGTGTCTGAGATGAAAGTATGTTGTCAAAACACAGGAGTCATTATTAGGGATTATAGACAGCAAAATTTAGTTGTTTTTTTTTTTGTGATGGTAGAAACACGAACAGTTATATATTCAAATGTGCTTGTTTGGTGTAAAAATTCAACATAATGACAAAAAATACAAATGTGTGCATCTCCTGACTTGCGTGTGCAGCCATTTGGCTGTTGTACATGGTTTATTCTTGGTATTTTTCATACCCCTTGGTTTCGAGTGTGGTCCTGAAAAATCTAGTTTCGAGGGCTATCTAGCCCTCCGCCTTCAAGCTAAAAAGAACTGGGACACCCCTTCATGTGAAAATGAGGGTTTTGAGGTAGAATTGGGATTGGGCCTTGTATTTTTTTTTTTTGCCATAAATCTGATGATGAATCACTTCGTAAAACAACTTTATGATTTCATTTTGTTTTTATGCACAAGGTGCAAGCTTTAGCCCAACATATTTGCAGTAAAATGACAGCGTCTATTACTGTTTATTTCCTTTTAAGTAATGGGTGGAAACAGTTCATCAAGATAGCTCAGTCCTGTCTGGACACACAGACCTTTTCCAAAATGAAGCTGCTGTTTCCTTCAGTGATTTTTGTCAGGAGAAACACCTTTAGTTGAGCTAAAGTAATCTTGCTTTTAAACGGATTTAAGGACATGTATGTTCATTTGCTAAGGATTGGTCAAATTATGCACCTTAAGGTTTTAAAATGAAGGTTTTTTGTTTTTTTGTGTGTGTAGGGTCTGCCAGAAATGTCTACCAAGTGTTAAACAAATTCTTAAAGCTGTTTTTTTTAATTTTATAATTTTAGTTTATTTCTACAGTTCTATGTTGATAATGGTTTTAACTATTTTGTTATAAGAATACACTGAAATTTCAATTCTTTTAAAGAAAAAAAACAAGAATTTATTTGAAACTGAATATTTTCCTGGGCATATATAAAAGATAAAGTATATCTGGGAAGGAAAAAAACTGTTTCTTAGATAAAGGTGTTGCAAAAGATGTCAAAATCTTGGTCTTTGATGACTAAAAATGAATCTCCAATTCCTAAATGCAACACGAACTCAACCTGATCTTTGCATAAATAAACCAGTGATTCAAACTAGTCGCTCACAATAGCTGTTCACTTTCTATGCAACTCATGTGGCCAGAAATGAAAAGAGAGCTCACAGATGTAGATCAAAACAGTCAAACCACATGTAAGACGTTGATGTTAACAGTGGCCACAAAATGAGCATCTTTATTGTACAAAAATCGATCCTCATCCATTATGACATGGGTGGGTAACATGCTTGAAAGTATCTCGGTGTCCATCTTGTATACATTCTTACTGAGAAACGGCCATTATGAGAGCCTCTTGCTACAGAAACATTATGCCCATTTTGAAAAAAGAAAGCATCAGAGGCACTAATGCAACCCAGATGAGCTGCCCCACAATAACCTTTTCCATTTCCTCCATTATAAGTCCATCATTTCTTTAAGTCAATGTACATGACTGCCACACATCAAAGTAAGCATCCCACTCTGGAATCACCTAATCAAGTGTTCGGATTTAATCTGGAAGAACAATTATATCATTTGTACCTACTCCTGACAGTTCGGCAACTCTCGCATGGACCGGATTCTGTGTGCTTTCCCTTGAGGACCACTAGTTTCTTGGACATCAGGAAACGTATGTGGAACTATCGGTCATCTTCAAGCTCTTCAATCCCTCAGGACTGCTGAAGAGTTTCAGCATATCGACCTCCAGAGGGTGAAGATGTCCACTAATGATCAGCGAGTGCAATGGTCCTTCCAGGTCACAAGATGCCAACTCACGCAATGTTCCAGAACGGATGGTCTGATCCTCAGCTCCAACGCGAGCCAGACCAACACACACAGTGTCTTCTGTCATTGCTGCGTTAAAGAAAAGAACAGAATAAGACCTCTTATATGAAGTGTGAATGCTCAGATTTGATTTCAGAAGGCTCTATTTGGACAATGTAAGCGCAGGTGCATTTATGGCATGTCCGAATCCACTTTCGCAAATTTAAAGGGAGGAAAAACAGTTAGCGTGCCCAGCGCATTGTCGATAATTTCTAAATGAGTTATGGTTTAGTTTTGGCAGTAAAGTGCATTCAATTAATCAGTCTCATCTCCCATTCCCATTAAAAAAAGAGTTGTGGTTGCACACATGGTGGGTTCTCTATTTTCAGACAGACTTTATAAGCACTGTAATGAGCCGGATTCCACTAAAGCTCCCTAAGGTGAAGGAGGTTCAGGAGGAGGTAAAGTTTTTATTTATTTATTTATTTATGTATACAATAATATTCTTTTACATTTTAATCATTTCAAAATTTTATATTTTAATATGTTTGTGTGCTGCTGCGCATCCCTGTGTGTGTAATCAGCAATGTGCATGTGTATTTTGGACTGGCTATCGCTTGTATAGCAATAATATGTGCATTAAAGTGACAGCAAAAGAAAAAAAAACGCCATTGACTTTACACCAGCTTTTAGTTGGTCAAGGGCAAGGTCTATTTCATGCTCCAACAATGCAATGCTCCAAATCTTTTTCAACAACATGGTGCTGTATGTGGAAATGATGGCTGCATTACGCCTAAAAAAAAAACAAACTTGTCGAGTCTGCCGCCATATTGCACCGGGGGTATAAGATAGGGGATAGAGTATGTGTGTGTGTGTGTGTGTGTGTGTGTGTGTGTGTGTGTGTGTGTGTGTGTGTGAATTATTAAATGCACAGTGAAGCAAATTTGACTCGCGAATAAAGCAAATTTGACGTGCAAATATAGTAAATTTGACTCTCGAATTAAGCAAATTTGATTCGCAAATGTAGCAAATTTGACACACGAATGAAGCAAATTTGACTCGAATTAACAAAATTTGACTCGAATAAAACAAATTTGACGCGCGAATGTGGCAAATTTGACGCGCGAATGAAGCAAATTTGACACGCGAATGAAGCAAGTTAGACGCGCGAATGAAGCAAATTTGACACGCGAATGTGGCAAATTTGACGCGCGAATGAAGCAAATTTGACTCGCGAATGAAGCAAGTTTGTCTCGTGAATGAAGCAAATTTGACTCGTGAATGTAGCTAATTTTACTTATGAATGAAGTAAATTTGATGCGCAAATGAAGCAAATTTGATGCGCGAAAGAAGCAAATTTGAATCGTGAATGTAGCTAATTTTACTTATGAATGATGTAAATTTGACGTGCGAATGAAGTAAATTTGATGCGCAAATGAAGCAAATTTGACGCGCGAAAGAAGCAAATTTGACCCGCGAATGAAGCAAATTTGACTCGTGAATGAAGTAAATTTGACTCTTGAATGAAGCAAATTTGACCCGCGAATGAAGCAAATTTGACTCGTGAATGAAGTAAATTTGACTCTTGAATGAAGCAAATTTGACGCGCGAAAGAAGCAAATTTGACCCGCGAATGAAGCAAATTTGACTCGTGAATGAAGTAAATTTGACTCTTGAATGAAGCAAATTTGACCCGCGAATGAAGCAAATTTGACTCGTGAATGAAGTAAATTTGACTCTTGAATGAAGCAAATTTGACTCGTGAATGAAGTAAATTTGACTCTTGAATGAAGCAAATTTGACTCGTGAATGTAGCTAATTTTACTTATGAATGATGTAAATTTGACGTGCGAATGAAGTAAATTTGATGCGCAAATGAAGCAAATTTGACGCGCGAAAGAAGCAAATTTGACCCGCGAATGAAGCAAATTTGACTCGTGAATGAAGTAAATTTGACTCTTGAATGAAGCAAATTTGACCCGCGAATGAAGCAAATTTGACTCGTGAATGAAGTAAATTTGACTCTTGAATGAAGCAAATTTGACGCGCGAAAGAAGCAAATTTGACCCGCGAATGAAGCAAATTTGACTCGTGAATGAAGTAAATTTGACTCTTGAATGAAGCAAATTTGACCCGCGAATGAAGCAAATTTGACTCGTGAATGAAGTAAATTTGACTCTTGAATGAAGCAAATTTGACGCGCGAAAGAAGCAAATTTGACCCGCGAATGAAGCAAATTTGACTCGTGAATGAAGTAAATTTGACTCTTGAATGAAGCAAATTTGACTCGTGAATGTAGCTAATTTTACTTATGAATGAAGTAAATTTGATGCACGAATGAAGCAAATTTGATTCGTGAATGAAGTAAATTTGACGCACGTTAACAATAATCATGTTTTTTTTGTTGATTAAAGGAAAAATGGATTTTTGCTCTATATAACAGAAATTCAGATATTGTGTGCAAATGTATATTGATAATAATACAAGGCGGTAATCTGACAGCAGCCAGCTGCCTACAATTTCAAGATTATTAGCTATTTACAAAAATCTGATCTGACAGAAAAGCATATGCACATGTTTTTGTGAACGTGTTCATTTTTTTGAATTGCACTCATGCTAAGTGATCTTATAATGATTTATAAAGGTTTCTGTGCAACATTTAATAAATGAGGCTCCGGCTTTTAATCAAATCTAATCCAATTTTCCATCAATGCCTGCCAGTACATCTAGTTGGCCAAACGTCCAGATGGTTCGACCGCAAAGTTCATTCAGGATTTCATGCGATGTGGAGTTTCTTACCCAGTTCCTCGCCACGATCCCGTCGGTTCTGTAGTATCTCTAAGAGCTGCTCAGCTGCCTGAGCGACAGTCATATACCTGGGAGGCTCGTAAATCTTCCGACCCCTAGAAACAACATGAGCAGAGGTATCTCTTATCTTCTATTCATGTCGAAATTGCAGTTGATGCACAGAACATTGAGCAAGTAGGTCATCGTTAATGCAGCTTCAATTTTTCTTAGCATGCATTAGCCATTAACTCGCCGTCAATCTGTCCTTGATGAAATCAGTCGACTTGAGGAAGCTGAAGACATGCTTTGAATTTCTTTTTGGGGGCCTGCAGTGAAGGGCACCAACCTCACCGGACAAGCATCTGACTGTGACCAAAATCATGCAGCGGCATATGGTTATTCCATTTCCGAGTAAATGGTACAACAGTGCCAATAAATCTGGGAGACATTAGCACACTTTCCAGCCTTGAACAGGGAGCACACGCATGGCCTAATGCTGGTCTCCATATAGCGTATATAGTCCAACACTAAAACCCATTTGGGGTTTATGTGGATTGGATATAAAATTACACAAAGTGCGCAACCATGGGGGGAGATAATTACAGGACACCACAGAGAGAGAGCAAGGAGTTTACGACCGTCCTCTACGACATCAAGCTGAAGGGTTTCGGAAAGACTTCAAGTCGATGAAGTTCACTGTTGCAGATAAAACATATTTCTGAAAAGTTCAGATGGAAAAATTATACCGTGGCAGTTCTGGAGGCGGCCCAGGGAAGGTCCATGATAACATATCATACGTCCAAGTCAAACAAGCTGCTGCGGTTTTTACTGTTGTTATTTTTTTTCCAGCACAACCAGTCTGGTCCCCCCCAGAATGTTAACTCAATGTCTGCTGCGAACCACAAATCGACCCACCCGGAAAGGCACCACAGACTTGATATAAATCAGAGAAAGTGAGAGAGAGTCTTACCTCATTAAATTCTCCATGGACTGCTCTTTGACTTTGATATCTGCGAAACAGGGGAGCCGTAAGTGTTGTGCGATACAATAAGCTCAGGTTTTATAAACTGGGCCTCTCTGGATGTTACAGTCACATCATAAATAGTGGGGTAACCTCTCCATCTGCGGGCTGTTAACCCCACGCTGTCTGCAGCATAAGTACATTTTCAGACTGCACCTGAGAGGGGCCCTTATTGAGAACAAAGCAAAGACTAATGTACTAATCGTGACCAGTCATGTTCTCACACCATGTCTGCACTGAAAGCGTCGCTGTTCAATAATGGACAAGTTAAAGGCTAGTCTTTAGTGCCAGTGAAATAGGAGAACCACTTTGGTTACGCAAGCAAATGTTAATCTTACCTTACAAAAAATACTGTTTTCTACACAATAGCTACTCTCTTTCCAGGTTGATTGGCTAGGCTTATATTTTACAATACTATAATAATACTCAAAAGTCAATATTTTCAAACCATTGCTTTTGATTTACCAAAGTCACACAAGTGGCAATAGCTATGTTTCTATTCAAAAATGTGACTTAACTTTATGCGCAAAACTGGATTATCGCATAAAAGACGTGTGACTAAAGCTGTCAAAGAGAGTCAAAGAGAACGAAATTGTCACTTCGTGATTGACTGGCGATAAATCTCAACAGTAAAAGCAGAATTTACTGCGGTAGGAGAAGCTGCGTGAATTTTTTTTTATTTAATAAACGACTTGCGCCTCAGAAGCCGACGCACAACGAACGTGTGGTGGCATTTGAAGGCGAGAGACGCAGAGCACAGACGCTCTTGACAGTTCTGGAGGTCATTAATAATCTAATAACACTAATACTGAAATGGTTAAAGTGTTTTAGAATTACCAAAACAACATTTCAGATGTTCTACAATGCACTCAGTCTGCTGGGTTTGTCCATTCATACACATTTTTATTATCACATGATCCCTTATAACAAAATCACATGACCTTTTTTAATGCGCATACTGGAATTTGTTGGGTAAAAGTGCTTGTATTGTAGTTTATGTGCATCTTATCGAATAAAAAGTTTAATCTACTCAGTTATGCGCATGTGTTTTTATGCATATTTTCAAAATTTATTTGCACCTTGGCGTTCACATCAACCGATTTTTTTATGCGCATATTCAAAATGCGCATTAAAATAGGTGGATGAAAACGTAGCAAATTTCACATCTGTCACAGAGAGTTTTCATGTACGTGACCGTACGTTCACACAGACAGCGGCTAGAGCGTCAAAGTGGCCGGAAGTCATTTATTTTTAATGAGAGCCGTCGGCAATAAGCAGCGCGACATGTCTTCGCTGGTGTGGGCGTTAAGGAGAGTTGAAATCAAGTCAACTTTATGTTAATGAGCTATGACGTGTTTCAGCAGCAAACAATCAGTTTTACCATTTGTTGAGCCTCCCCGTGCAGTTTGATAGAGCAATTTGACTCGGAAGCTGCTTCGTCACACTTAACAAGCGGATGGACTCTTATCCATTTGATTAGCATTGTTTCTATTGGCTTATGCAGTTTAACTCTCAGAATTTCAACAAATTTGTTATAAACTGTGAACTCGCATCCATACCACATGTTTATTTGCCTCATTTAAAATATAAAAACATTTTCAGATTGATATTTTACTAATCTCTCAACTCCTTTCTCATTTGGTTTTGGAAAATATAAAGAGATGTTTCAATATAGACCATTTTGAGGGATGTAAACAAAAACAGTGGTCCCAATGTGTTTCCTGTTTTACATTTTTAATTTCTATAGCGTCCTAAAATCCAAAATAAGCCACATATCGATAAATAATGCTATGATAGCTGTTTTAACATTAGGTTGTAATTGAATCGCCTGTTACAGTTATGAAATAGTTTAATAACAAGCAGGAAATATTCATGGGCCAATGACATGACCACATTGAAATGGTCTATACTGTTAACATACAATCTCTATGAGTTTAAGCCTCAAGTTTTCCAGTAAACATCACATGCATAAATCTGGAATTATATTCTTTTTTACCTTATCCCCTGCAAAAAGTGGCCGAAACAGAAATAGCTGTCAGAATTTTTATTTAATTTTGTTTTGGGATTCAAACTATAAACACCCTCAAATAAATTGACCAATAACTGCCTGCCTGATTAATAGCCCATGTCTTGTTAGCAGCGTTATGATGAAAGGATGTGGTGTTTAGCCCCTGTGTTTAGTCTATGAGTGTGTGTGTGCTTTTGTTGTGTCTGCTGGTTATTGTGTTAGATAAGCGCTCTTGCGGCCAAGGCCGAACGGGGAGGTGTTCAATTCCCGCCTCCCTCTGTTTGCTTTTGAATAATGAGGTTAATAACACTGATCCCTCTCTTGCTCATTTTTGTCCACACTCTTGCTCTCCGAATCCTCAGCTGGGAAGCACCTGGGGACTCCCGCCCCTCCCCCATATCCCGCCAGCCAATAAGAGGTGAGCACAACCAGCAGACTACGATTTTTGACCAACATTCATTACCAAAGACGAACTCCAATGGGAAATCCCACTGGTACTTTCGAAGATGTGGGGTTTATTAAGAGTTGGCTGGAAATCTCTAAGGCACGCAGATATAAACGTAAATTATTTGCCACCATCTGCCTTGGGGCTACCAAACCACTTGCAGAAGGCCCAAGTTTAATGCGCGCCCCGAAGGGAAATGCCTATTTGACTGGATGTCAAAATAAAGGGGTTGTCATGTCTGGATTTGACACATTAACTGCAAGTAGATTTGTCTACATCCAAAGACGCAAATTAGATTTAGGTCCCATTTACACTAATACGTTTAGTTTTAAATGGTGTCTTAGAATGAAAATGATCCGCATCCACACTGGTGTGTTATCTAGTGTTCCTGAAAAGATCTCCGTCCACACTACACCACTCTTGCATGCGCTAAAGCATATGTGGTTGTCTGAGCTCCAGGCAGTCAGCGGTTGCTTTGAGCACACCTCCCTAGATCAGAGCAGCGAACGTTGGACAGTTCATCAACAATTAACCGATGGATCACAACTCATTATAGTTGTTAAACGTGATCTTTAATTCACCTTGTCTCTATCTAATGGTCTTTTGAATCTATTACTTGTTCTCAGGTAATGTCTTTTGGCTGAGCGCAAAGATTAGTTATACATTATAGATATATTAATTCATGGAACCACGTACACTGATTTTGCATATTGACTGATTGCTTGTCTTTATTTCCTATATTATATAAACTTATTGTATATAATACTTACCATTACTGATTATTAAATTTGATATTCAGCAAAAGAGACACAGGGTGTGTTTCATATTTTTCAATGAACGTGAAAGGAGGCAGTTCTGTTATAGGCTCCGTTTTGTTATTAATATGCATACAGTGAAGATGACGCTCAAATAATTATGTAGTTACATGACGTCTCAACATTTCTGGCATGTTAAGTTGTTGATATCAAAATGAAAATAGGCAGTTCCTTATTTCATGTTTTCATTTTATTGTTTAGAGGAATGAGGTTATAAAGTACTCTAGATATGTTACCATCCAAAATTGCGAATTAACTTTATAAACAAAACTTGAATATCACATAAAGGAAGTGCGAATAAAGCAGCGTTTCCATCCTAAAGTGAAAAAGAACACTTTAGGACACTAATTGACTGGCGCAAAATATAAAAAGTACAAACGGAGTTTGCTGCGGTAGGAGAAGCTGCGTGAATCTTTTTTTTTATTTAATAAATGACTTTCACCTCAGGAGACAGTATACCGACGCACAACGAACATGTGGTGGTGTTTGAAGGCGTGCAATGCTGAGCACAGACGCTCTTGACAGTTCTAGAGGAAATTAATAATATAATAACACTAATACTGAAATTTAGAATGACCAAAACAGCATTTCAGATGTTTTACAATGTGCTCAGCTGCTGGTTTGTCCACACATTTTTACCACCACATGATCTCTTATAACAAAATTACAGGATCTTTTTTAATGTGCATACTGGATATTGTTTGGTAAAAATGTTTCTATCGTAGTTTATGCACATCTGTTCTTATGGAATAAAAAGTTTATCCTACTCAGTTATATGTGAGTAGTCAAAATTTCTCCACATCTTGGCGTTTCCATTAACCTTTTTTTTTTTTTTTGCGCAGATAAAAAATGTGCATTAAAATAGATGGATGGAAACGTAGCAAACTTATTATTGAGAAAAAGCCCCAATCGGGTAGTCGAATGTCTGCAGCCATGCCTCTGTTTTCAGATTTCGTTTTCCTCCATCCACACTGACACGGAGCAGCAGCGTTTTAAAACCAAAATGACCTCCTCAGCGTTTCCAAAAAGCTCAGTTTTCAGGGCTTGAAAACTCTAGAGTATTGTGGAAAGGCGGAACCATAGCAAAACCTATGCATTTTAAAACTAAAACGTATAAGCGTAAATGGGGCCTTTTGCGCAAAACTAGAATATCGCATAAAACATTTGCGAACAAATCCCCGTTTCCATCCGATGGGTCAAAGAGAACAAAAACATTGCCAAATATTAAAAGAAATTTGCTGCAGTAGGAGGAGCCATTGTGGGTCTTTTTTTCCTATATAATGAATTAGCTGCTCTTCAGATGCTGATCATGAAACACAATAAACGTTTGGTGGGCTTTGCTCTTTGTGTTTCCATAGTACTTTTTTCTTATTGGATACAAAACGTTTATCCTATTCATGTTTTATATGTGCATTTTCAAAGTTTATTCGCATTTTGGCATTTCCATTAAGCAATTTTTATGCGGTATTCCATATTTCGGTATTCCATATTGCGAAATTCCAAAACAGCTGGAGACTGTTGAAGATGCGTTTGGAGGTGTGTGGGCTAAACAGAGCCTACCAATTGTGTGACATCATGCAACTTTCTGTCTAATTATAACCAACTTGAAGGAAGTGCTTACCCAGCAGGCACAGCGTGTGCAGGCCCATATCCCTGTTCTTCTTGATCTTATCATAGAAGCTCTCGGGTCTCCACGTGTCCGTCCAAAACACAATAGACACCGTCTCACCAAAGTTGTACAGCTGAGGGGGGAAATGCAATCTTAATCACATTGAAATTACCCTACTCACACTACATCTATGTTTGTATGGAGCAGAATGTTCAATTTTCAGTAGCCCAGATCTTTCCATCAGCAAGGTGCTTCCTGTTATTCATTAAGCATGACATCACTACGAAAACTAGAGTGCTGCACAGCTGACACAACAGAGTGTCATTACTGCACATAAACTCATTGTTGCATACTTTAGGTCCTACAAGTCGTGTGATGTATGTAGGAGGACAGAGGTAGGGATTAAGTCATCCCGCATTTACCTAGCCAGTTAGTGAAGACCACTAGTGACCTACAGTAGTAAGCATTTAAACTGGATCAAAATCTTTCTTTAAAGTTGTCCTGTCTCTGGGCAATTTAGGACAATTTGGACAAACTATTTTTATATAAGGACAATTTTGAAAAACTATTTTGATCTAATTAGGCTGGCTTGTGTAGCAAGCCAGACTACTGTTATCCTATTAAACTTATTATTATATTTATTATTCTTCTTCTGAGACTAAAAATTAAACTCTATCTCGTCCTAGGCCTTTCAAGCTATGACCATCAAACTCGGGTCAGACCTCCGAACTATTCTGACTCGAGTTGCTATATCCTTTCCGACTGATCCGACTTTCGGTTTCCCGAAAAACGTCCCGGGACCGTCGGAAAAATCCCATAGACGTAACATTGGATCAAACTTTGTGACCTAATAACTCCGCATCAGAATGTCACACAGACTTCTAACTGGGCTCATTTAACTCAGACTGTCAAACTGCCAATGACTGATCACCTTTAAACTTTCTGGCCACGCCCTAGCAACCACTTTTGGACCCTAGAAACCGTCCCATAGACTTCCATTGCAAAAGACTCTCATTGACTTTACATGGGATCAAACTTTGTGAGCTCATAACTTTGCATCAGACTGTCCTACAGACTAATGGCTGAGCTTATTTAACTCAGTCTAGCCAGCAGCCAATTACTGATGGCCTTTTAACTTTCTAGCCACACCCTAACAACCAGATACTGCACCCTAGCAACTGTCCCATAGACTGCCATTAAAGAGGTTCAGACTGATATTGTCATGCTGCAGTGTGATAGAGACATGGAGGTTGTTTTTAACTGTTCATACTGGCAAGAAGCTTTGATACATAATCAGTCTAAGCTGTCAATCAACTCCATAGCAACAAAACAGACTAACCTAGCAACGATATAACAGCAGCTATATCTCAGCATCAGAACATCGTAGAGAAGCGGGGGTTGGCTTGTTTGAATCAGGCTCGCACACCATCTATCTATCTATCTATCTATCTATCTATCTATCTATCTATCTATCTATCCATCCATCCATCCATCCATCCATCTACCTCTACCTATCTATCTATCTATCTATCTATCTGTCTGTCTGTCTGTCTGTCTGTCTGTATCTATCTATCTATCTATCTATCTATCTATCTATCTATCTATCTATCTGTCTGTCTGTCTGTCTGTCTGTCTGTCTGTCTGTCTGTCTATCTATCTGTCTGTCTGTCTGTCTGTTAGTCTGTCTGTCTCTATCTATCATCTATCTATCTATCTATCTATCTATCTATCTATCTATCTATCTATCTATCTATCTATCTATCTATCTATCCATCATGCTAACAACATGCTAATTCATGCTAGAATCATGCTAGTTACATGCTAAATCATGCTAGAATCATGCTAGTCACATGCTAATTCATGCTAGAATCATGCTAGTCATATGCTAATTCATGCTAGAATCATGCTAATTTATGCTAAAATCATGCTAGTAACATGCTAATCCATGCTAGAATCATGCTAACAACATGCTAATTCATGCTAGATTCATGCTAGTAACATGCTAATTCATGCTAGAATCATGCTAGTATCATGCTAATTCATGCTAGAATCATGCTAACAACATGCTAATTCATGCTAGAATCATGTTAGTAACATGCTAATTCATGCTAGAATCATGCTAACAACATGCTAATTCATGCTAGAATCATGCTAACAACATGCTAATTCATGCTAGAATCATGCTAGTAACATGCTAATTCATGCTAGAATTATGCTAACAGCATGCTTATTTATGCTAGAATCATGCTAACAACATGCTAATTCATGCTAGAATCATGCTAACAACATGCTAATTCATGCTAGAATCATGCTAGTCACATGCTAATTCATGCTAGAATCATGCTAACAACATGCTAATTCATGCTAGAATCATGCTAGTAACATGCTAATTCATGTTAGAATCATGCTAACAACATGCTAATTCATGCTAGAATCATGCTAGTAACATGCTAATTCATGCTAGAAGCATGCTAACAACATGCTAATTTATGCTAGAATCATGCTAGTAGCATGCTATTTCATGCTAGAATCATGCTAACAACATGCTAATTAATGCTAGAATAATGCTAACAACATGCTAATTCATGCTAGAATTGTGCTAATTCATGCTAAAATCATGCTAGTAACATGCTAATTCATGCTAAAATCATGCTAACAACATGCTAATTCATGCTAAAATCCTGCTAGTAACATGCTAATTCATGCTAGAATCATGCTAACAACATGCTAATCTATCTATCTATCTATCTATCTATCTATCTATCTATCTATCTATCTATCTATCTATCTATCTATCTATCTATCTTTTCATACTTTTTAAAACCGTTTAATCTAAATAAACTATTACCGTCAGGCTTTCACAAGCCAGCCTCAAAGTTTGTTCTCAAACTTTAAGAATCTAGTTGATGACTAGTGTAGATGCATTTGCTTTAGATCAGCCATCACAAATTCAATAGTATTAAAGCCAGAATCCACACGAGCACCCTCGATTATTCTGAACCAGAGATCACCGATCACGTGATCAGACATCAGGGCCGATCACGGGAGTGATCTATGACGTGAGACGGGCATCGTCATGTTTACTTGCGGCCTGTGCATTTGCCTCATTCATAAAAGCGAGACACGCAGGATTCAGCACGTAAATTATGTACCAAAATGCATGCAAAAAAAGTGGCTGGCCAGCTGGTAGAAGAAAAGATTGAACGTCGTTACTTTCACTACGAAACATAAAAATAAGCAAAACATAAAATAAGCATTAGGTGCTTAAAACACTGCATAACTGTGATAATATGACATGTCTTTCTCCGGCTCAGCGCTAGCCAACGCGTCAAGGCTCAGGTTGATTTTTTCAGTTGCTGCTATGAGTTAACAAGCTAACGCTAACTTGTCATGCTTGTCAAGCTGGATAACAAGTAAAACACCAGCATCACAGACTTTACAGTCCTCACTTCAAAACGGAACAAAAGTGGGATTGTATAGTTATTTACCCTGCTGCTGAACTACCTTCCTCCTCATCCCTGTCTTTGAGGCGCTGAACCCTGCATCAGTGCGCGAGAGACCGTGTTCACTCTGCTGAACTAAGGTGTTTTTTTTTATTTAAACGCAATGATTAGCTTATGAAATTCATTGTCAACTCTTTTAGTAATAAATTTTTATCGATTTAATTGATTTGTCGTTGCAGTTCTGATATTTTGTGAAACGATGATGTCTTCAGCCCACATGTCATCCCTGGTTAGACACCACAATGTCAATTAACAGTGACAACAACTACAAATGCTGACTACAAGCTTGTGTTCATGCTGCAGACTCAAGACTCCAATCTTCTTTTCAGTTCTTTTTGAATATTGAATATTTGAATATTGAATTGATACCACAATACCAATCGGTACTGCAATCTACAAAAAGTCCATTTCCAGCTAATATTTACAGTAATTTCTTTTAAACATGTGAACACAATGGCAAATCGGCGCCGGTTAAGAATGCACTTAACATTGCTTAAATGTTAGCAGGAAATGGATGCTTTTAAAATTTCAGTACCGACTGGTACCAAAATTCAGTATCATGAAAACACAAGTCTGGCATTTATATCACATAAATTTTAGTCTGGTATACTAAATAGATTTTAATATTAACCAAATTTTATTTTAGAAAGAAACAGAAATATTTCAGAATTTTTTAGAAAAAGGATTGGATGGGGAAAGCTCTTTTTTGGTGTGGATGAAGCCTTATACTTTATTCTTAATCAAACGCATTATACAACAGTGAAATTACTTTTTACTGATAATATGTCAAAATCACAATACACAAGAAACGATTGGAAACTTCTAAGAATCTAAGATCATTACTAAAAATCCACGGTGCAGTAGGGTTGTCACGATACTGGAATTTGATACCAGTCGGTACTGAAATTTTAAAAACGTCCATTTCCTGCAAACATTTAAGCGTTCTTAAACAGCGTTGATTAGTCATTGTGTTCACGTGCTCAACATAAATGACTGTGATTGGCCTTCGGTTCACCGAACTCACCACTGTTTACTGAGTGTAACCACAGATACAGGGTTACGGAGCATTTTAAAGCTGAAACTTATCAGCGGATCGCTCGTATTTTAGCTTATAGACAAACCAGCTAATTGACGTGACTTTAAAATACAAAGTGGCAAATCATCACAGTTAAAGAACGTGTTCAGTAGTGCTTAAATATTTTTATACCGATACCAATATACCGATTGGTACCGAATTTCAGTATCGTGACCACCCTATTATGTAGGAAGTACAACAAAACACATCCTTATCAAACAATCCTTGAACTATAGAAACAAAATTTTATTTTTTATTTTTTTTTAACCACAGATTTTGCTAATAAAAAACTGTTTTGCCACACTTTTTTGTGCCATTCCAATTTTCTGAAAGCTCCAATTAGTGCATCTTGATCTGCACCCAAACACAGTAACTGCAAAGAGTGTGTTAACCTACCAAATCCCTTTTGTAGCCTAGAGCGGCAGCTGCGGTAGGTGATTTAGGACCTGCTTTTCCTACCAAAATAATATCCTTTAGAAAAGGCAGCGCTGATCTCAGATCATCTTTGAACGCATATCGTGAGCTTAGGGCGGCATCTGGGGCCCCTTGGTACACAAAGCTGCCCTGACAGGTCAATACAGGGGACTGTTATTGATGGCCACTAGGCTTCCTTGATAGACTCCGTTGGGACGCCTACGACACAATAGCCGCAATGCCATTTGATCACTTTCACGAGAGAATGGGCACGAATGAAGCATGATCACAAAATTCCTTCCTGGGAGACATACACGCTGACAATGGAACCACGGGAAATCTTAAAAATTGAAGTTGCGAAAGTGGCAAGCAAAAAATTACCTGCAATCCACAGCAGCCCACTGCATTCATGATGGAGGCATTGTGAATAACGCGGTACTGTATCCCAGCATTCAGTGCTCGCAAAACCAGGTCACTGTGGGTCGTGGCTCTGGAGAAAAACAAAAAAATGCAGCGTATATCAATCCAAAACATGGCCCTCTATCAGCATTTCTCTTACTACCGTGTTGGGCTGTTTACAATGTGGAAGCAATCCAAATTGCGCCACAGACGCTTATCCTTTTCCATCTCGAATATATCATTAAACTTTATTAAACCCACACATTCTTAAGCTCAGGCAAACGAGGAGTCAGACCCCTGTCCCCTCCAGATATGTGGGTTTTGGTGGTTTTGGATGGAAAAAACGCTGGAGCCGAACACTTCGCAAAAGCCTAAAAGCGAGCGAGAGGGGAACGTGTGGCGTAATTAGTTCATCACTTTTTGGTGCTTTTCCAAAGTAGCCAAACCACAGATGTCCAAATCCCACTTCTCAAAAGATGATGTTACACCCCAGAGCATTGTTGCTCAACTATTCTGTGGCTCAAATATTATGAATAATGGGAAATCTTTCCATTATCTATCATTCATCATGCTGTAGAAAGCATTTCTGATGGGTTTCTCTTAATTTCACTTGACGCCATTATTATTAAGATCAGACTGGAGACGAACAAATGTGAACATTTCCTCTAATTTCTCTAATTATTTTTTTGGTGATAAAGCTTTCCACTGAAAGTCTGTTTTTATATTTTCTGATGAGTCATTGAATTCATTGTGGGATTGTGGCATGAGTGATGGTTAAGAGTAAAGCAAAACGAGTAACGTGAGGGTACATCATCTGACAAATATGCACTGAAACCTCAATGTCATTCAAGAGAAATCAAACTGCTTTAACATTATTCATTCATTCATTCATTCATTCATTTTCTTGTCGGCTTAGTCCCTTTATTAATCTGGGGTCGCCACAGCGGAATGAACCGCCAACTTATCCAGCAAGTTTTTACGCTGCAGATGGCCTTCCAGGAAACGTCCACACACACACACTACGGACAATTTAGCCTACCCAATTCACCTGTACCGCATGTCTTTGGACTGGGGGGGGAAACCGGAGCACCCGGAGGAAACCCATGCGAACGCAGGGAGAACATGCAAACTCCACACAGAAACTGAGCTAAAGCTCGAACCAGCGACCTTCTTGTTGTGGGGGAACAGCACTACCTACTGCGCCACTGTTTCGCCCTGCTTTAACATTATTTCAAACAAAATCAGGCCAAAACATAAACCTAATGGGCTGGAAAAAATAATACACTAATAAAATGTATTAATTAACACTCAGTAGACCTGCACCATTAAATATTTTTAAACCAAAATTGCAGTTTGAAATGGTGCGATTTTCAATTCACAAAAGCTGTGACTATTTTGATGCGCTATCAAATGTGGTAACAAGCTACAGTTTTTGAAAGTTCTGACAGTTCGTAAGCACCGTATATATAATTCATTTAATCAATTTAAAATACTGTAGTTATTTTCTTAATTCGTCACGACAACTGACAACTTAATTGGAAAAAAGTTTAATGTTTTAAATAAACAGTAGCATAGTGGAGCATACTTTGTGATTATGCTTGGTCTTTTATGGTGCTGCAAAAATCGGTAAAGCCTAGATTGGATACAGCCGCAGATACGCACATCAATATAGCATCATTTTTGTGACATTGTATAACAACAATTAAAATTTTTACAGCACTTTGACACTTGGATTAAGAGTTAGGGTAGGGGGTAGACGTTACAAAAATATAAATTACAGGGTAATTTAATAAAGAACAAATAAAACTCGATACAACTACTGTTTTTCCATTACTGTGATGCTTGGGTTGTGGTTTGTGGTAGATGTTAATAAAATACAATTAATAAGTAATTTAATAAATAATTCTCATTACATTACATCATTATCTCTCTCAACCAATGAGAACATTTGTAATGTGCATAATGCAGGGTTCATATCAGATGTGGAGTGCTGCACCACTCTAGGCTCTAGTCTATTTTACTCGCGGAATGTTTTTCACTCCAAGTTAATTTCCTGCTCAATCACTAGATCTAATCACTTGAGGAAGCTCAAAAGAATTGATTGAGGTGACTTTCATGCATTTGCATTGACTTTTTGTAATCTACTCATAAAAATTATTAATATTGTTTTTTTTTTCATACGTTCTAAATTTAACTGGGTTCACACAACTTTTAAACTCATTGATGAATTTTGCTTACAAGAATGCAATTAAATGCAAAAATTCATACATATCGTTTCAGCATCGAGCAGGGATCTGCAATGTAGTTGGGATTAGATTAATTTCATACTTTAACGTTAGAGTCAAAGTTGATTATTTTTGTGTTTTTAAGACCCGACTGTAAGAATTAAAAGCAAATTAAAGTCATTTGGGCACAATAAATGAAATGATTGTAACTTAAAGATGAATTGTAGATTATTTAATTAGTTAATCAATTAAAATGATGGGCGATGCACGGCGCAGTAGGTAATTCTGTCGTCTACCAGCAAGAGGGTCGCTGGTTCGAGCCTCGGCTGGGTCAGTTGGTGTTTCTGTGTGGAGTTTGCATGCTCTCCCCGTATTCAAGTGGGTTTCCTCAGGGTGCTCCGGTTTCCCCCACAGTCCAAAGACATGTGGTACAGGTGAATTGGGTAGGCTAAATTGTCCATAGTGTATGAGTGTGAATCAGTGTGTGTGGATGTTTCCCGGAGATGAGTTAATGCTGAATGGGCATCTGCTTTGTAAAAACGTGTTGGATAAGTTGGCGGTTCATTCCGCTGTGGCGACCCCAGATTAATAAAGGGACTAAGCCGAAAAGAAAATGAATGAATGAATTAAAATGATGCAGTGTTATTATTATAATTATACGGTGATTTAAATAATGTCTGCTTCTGAATACAGTTTGACTGTTAAAATCATAAATAATCATTGTTCATTTTCTTACTTCCTGTTGCATTTACTTTGCTTGTTTTAAGGCCCTAAATCTTTATTGAAAGTATGATTGATTTTAATTTATGTTGGATCAGCACATGAATCAGATTTTTTTTATTTAGCTTCATCAGCAGAGATTGACTTCTGTAGGTGTTATTCTTACCCGAAAGGATCACCAACTACCAGAAAAGCCACATCACAGACATCTGCTCCTTTCAGGATCTCATCCGCCTCTTGCTCCACCATATCTCTGTCTGCCAGGAGCAACTCACGTCCATAATACTCCTCCTGAGACAACATAATGACAGCACAATTATCAGTGTAATTAAGCAATGCTTACATATCAATAATTAACAATCAATAATTAACAGCTTAACATACATAGTTTTTCAAATAAAAAAAGTAATGCATCTAAATTGATGGTCATATGTTGAACTTTATAACATTTGCTTGTTTTTGATCTAAGGGATTGATAAGAAGTCATTATAATATATAAATGCAAATATAAACAGCATGATTAACTATATAAACGTGTATATATGAATATAAATATCTGACATTGTGTAGATTTTATTTAATGAAAATTGAGTATTAAATGTAAATAATTGTATGGACTTGGATATAATACCAAGAATAGACTTTCTAAGATGAACGTTTTGTCAAATTTTGCTAAAATTAATTAAGTTAATACCTCATTTTAGAAAATCATAGCCATGTTGAAAAGTTTTATTAAACAGTTATAGTCATTTCAATAAGAGTTTGGTCACTAAACATCTTTAGGAACGGTAAAGTACCGCAGTCAAGTGAGCCGCCACATGAGAACAACCGGTCAAGCTAGCCACCTCCAGTATTTTAATGCACTTCTGTTTGAGGAATTACGGTACAGAAGCTAGAACAGTCAAAAACCTCACAAAGACATATATTTCAGCGGTTATTGGCCAAATGTGTCTAGTAAAAAGAAAACATGCATTAATTAAATCATAAATGTACCTTTTAAAATAAATATGAAAATATAGAACATTGAAATACATTTATTGCAGAGTTTTTTGAAGTTTTGCAAAAGTCTGCCAGAATAATTGAACACTGATTGAATTCATGCTTTTTTCACTGATATTAATAATTTCTTTAGACTTGACATGACATTTATGCCAATTTACAAGGCAAAAACAAAATGAAGTCTGCAAAAACACCTGTTTTTACTGCTATTGCTGAGAATTCTGCCATAGTTGACATGAAATATTCAATTAATTCTATTTCAGGATGACCTTGAATCAATTTCCATGCCAAAGGTGATTGGCATTTACAGCTGAATATGGCAGAAAAATAAAGGCAAAGTCTGCAAGAATACATCACTGATCATTTTCTGCTTTTTATACATGCACTAATAAAATTTCTTCAGAGTTGACAAGACATTTCAATAAATTCTAATTCAGGATGACCTTGATTCTTTCCATGGGAAATTTTATTGGCATTTACAGCTGAATATGGCAGAAAAATAAAGTGTGGAGAAGTACATTACATCACTGATTTTTTTTCTTGCTTTTTCTACTGCTATAATTAAATTTCCTTCAGAGTTGACATGAAATATTCAATGAACTCTGAATCAGGATGGCCTTGACTCTTTACACACCAACTTTCATATAGAATTACTGCTGAATTTGGCAGAAAAATAAGGACAAAGTATAGAGTAGTACATTACATCACTGATCATTTCTTGCTTTTTCAAGTCATATAATTTAAAATTCTTCAAAGTTGACATGAAATATTCAATAAATTCTCATTTAGGAGGACACTGACTCTTTACATACCAACTTTCATATGGAAATACTGCTGAATTTGGCAGAAAAATAAAAATAAAGTATGGAGAAGTACATTACATCACTGACCATTTCTTACATTTTCTACTGCTATAATTAAAAATTCTTCAGAGTTGACATGAAATATTCAATGAACTCTGAATCAGGATGGCCTTGACTTTTTACACACCAACTTTCATATAGAATTACTGCTGAATTTGGCAGAAAAATAAGGACAAAGTATAGAGTAGTACATTACATCACTGATCATTTCTTGCTTTTTCCAAGTCATATAATTTAAAATTCTTCAAAGTTGACATGAAATATTCAATAAATTCTCATTTAGGAGGACACTGACTCTTTACATACCAACTTTCACATAGAAATACTGCTGAATTTGGCAGAAAAATGTAGACAAAGTCTCCCAAAAAATTACATCACTGATCCTTTCTTGCATTTTCTACTGCTATAATTAAAAATTCTTCAGAGTTGACATGAAATATTTAATAAATTCTCATTTAGGAGGACACTGACTCTTTACATACCAACTTTCACATAGAAATACTGCTGAATTTGGCAGAAAAATAAGGACAAAGTCTGTAAAAATATTACATCACTGATCATTTCCTGATTTTTCTAGTGCTGTAATTAAAATTCCTTCAGAGTTGACATGAAATAATCAATAAATTCTCATTTAGGAGGACACTGACTCTTTACATACCAACTTTCACATAGAAATACTGCTGAATTTGGCAGAAAAATGTAGACAAAGTCTCCCAAAAAATTACATCACTGATCCTTTCTTGCATTTTCTACTGCTATAATTAAAAATTCTTCAGAGTTGACATGAAATATTTAATAAATTCTCATTTAGGAGGACACTGACTCTTTACATACCAACTTTCACATAGAAATACTGCTGAATTTGGCAGAAAAATAAGGACAAAGTCTGTAAAAATATTACATCACTGATCATTTCCTGATTTTTCTAGTGCTGTAATTAAAATTCCTTCAGAGTTGACATGAAATAATCAATAAATTCTCATTTAGGAGGACACTGACTCTTTACATACCAACTTTCACATAGAAATACTGCTGAATTTGGCAGAAAAATAAGGACAAAGTATAGAGTAGTACATTACATCACTGATCATTTCTTGCTTTTTCAAGTCATATAATTAAAAATTCTTCAAAGTTGACATGAAATAATCAATAAATTCTCATTTAGGAGGACACTGACTCTTTACATACCAACTTTCACAAAGAAATACTGCTGAATTTGGCAGAAAAATAAGGACAAAGTCTGTAAAAATATTACATCACTGATCATTTCCTGATTTTTCTACTGCTATAACTAAAATTCCTTCAGAGTTGACATGAAATAATCAATAAATTCTCATTTAGGAGGACACTGACTCTATACATACCAACTTTCACATAGAAATACTGCTGAATTTGGCAGAAAAATAAAGATCAAGTATGGAGAAGTACATTACATCACTGATCATTTCTTGATTTTCTACTGCTATTACAGTCGACAGAAAATAATAAATAAATTCTCATTTAGTATGAAACTGACTCTTTACATATTAACTCTAGGCTATACAACTGAATTTGGCAGAAAATTAAACATAAAAATCTGCAATAATGCATTACTGACCGTTTCCTGCTTGTCTACTGCTATTTATTGAAATTCTCTCAGTTGGCAAGAACTGTTCAACAATTTATTCTTCAAAATGACCTTGACTGCCAACATGCATCACTGATTATAACAGAATTTTTTCTTATGGCTTTTTATGCTTTGGCGTTAACATGATGTTTTTGATAAATACTCTTTAAAAAAAAGATTCTGTCTATTTTAAGTTTCAGACGGTTTTATGGTAAACATTTTATATAAAGTATCTTAAAATACATTACAACACACCTAATCTCATATTCTTTATTCATTCATTTTCTTTTTAGCTTAGTCACTTTATTAATACGGGGTCGCCACAGTGGAATGTACCACCAACTTATCCAGCACGTTTTACACAGTGGATGAACTTCCAGCTGCAACCCATCACTGGGAAACACCCATACACATCCAATCACACATACACTATGGCCAATTTAGCTTACTCAATTCCCCTATAGCACGTCTTTGGACTTGTGGGAGAAACTGCAGCATCCTGAAGAAACCCACAAGGACAAGGGGAGAGCACGCAAACTCCACACAGAAATGCCAATTGACCCAGCCGAGGTTTGAACCAGCGACCTTCTTGCTGTAAAGTAATCATGCAACCCACTGCGCCACCTTACGCCCTAGTCTACAATTATTTTTTTTATTCAATTTCATTTTTTGCAATATGAGTTGCATGAGGACATTTGAGGACAAACTAATAGCTTATTTGCTTACAATTGTTTATCTTTTTCTTAGCCTACTTAATTAACATTGAAAGATATGTCCTTTCTGTGGCGACCCGATTAGTCAGGGACTACGTAAAATGAATGAATGAATGAAGGATGTTTACTTTCTTTTTATAAATTATTATGAATCTTCCATATTTTTCTATATTGTTAACAAAATAAAAACCACTTACAATAACATTTACTTTTATATAGCCTGGATACAAATGATTTATTTATTGTCTAAAAAATTACATTTGGTTTCAGAAATTAAATTTAACAAAAGTGATTACTTTTATTTTTTTAAAATTACTTTTAACATTATACTCAAAACACTTTGGAAATTGTGCATATAGGCCTAAAAAAACAACGTAGGCTATAGCCGACTGTTTAAATTAAAAACATTCTGAAGACAAATTTTCACAAGCTTCAGAAAACTTTTTCAACTTGTAAATCATAGTAAATGATTTTGGCCTAATGACTGAACCTATGTTTTAAGTTGGTTAACATTGGTTTTGGATAAATCTTTTTTCCTTCTGCACAATGTTCTCTTGCACACTTTATTTTTCTAAAAAAATCAACTGTAAATGCTGTAAATTTAAATCTAAATAAAAAAATGCCATGGAAAGAGTCAATGTCATCCTCAATTAGAATTTATTAATTATTTCATGTCAACTCTGAAGGAATTTTAGTTATAGCAGTAGAAAAAGCAAGAAAAGATCAGTGATGTATTTTTTTTGCAGACTTTGTCTCAACTTTTCTGCCAAATTCAGCAGTATTTCTATGTGAAAGTTGGTATGTAAAGAGTCAGTGTCCTCCTAAATGAGAATTTATTGAATATTTCATGTCAACTTTGAAGAATTTTTAATTATATGACTTGAAAAAGCAAGAAATGATCAGTGATGTAATGTACTACTCTATACTTTGTCCTTATTTTTCTGCCAAATTCAGCAGTAATTCTATATGAAAGTTGGTGTGTAAAGAGTCAAGGCCATCCTGATTCAGAGTTCATTGAATATTTCATGTCAACTCTGAAGGAAATTTAATTATAGCAGTAGAAAAAGCAAGAAAAAAAATCAGTGATGTAATGTACTTCTCCACACTTTATTTTTCTGCCATATTCAGCTGTAAATGCCAATAAAATTTCCCATGGAAAGAATCAAGGTCATCCTGAATTAGAATTTATTGAAATGTCTTGTCAACTCTGAAGAAATTTTATTAGTGCATGTATAAAAAGCAGAAAATGATCAGTGATGTATTCTTGCAGACTTTGCCTTTATTTTTCTGCCATATTCAGCTGTAATGCCAATCACCTTTGGCATGGAAATTGATTCAAGGTCATCCTGAAATAGAATTAATTGAATATTTCATGTCAACTATGGCAGAATTCTCAGCAATAGCAGTAAAAACAGGTGTTTTTGCAGACTTCATTTTGTTTTTGCCTTGTAAATTGGCATAAATGTCATGTCAAGTCTAAAGAAATTATTAATATCAGTGAAAAAAGCATGAATTCAATCAGTGTTCAATTATTCTGGCAGACTTTTGCAAAACTCCAAAAAACTGTGCAATAAATGTATTTCAATGTTCTATATTTTCATATTTATTTTAAAAGGTACATTTATGATTTAATCAATGCATGTCTTTTTACTAGACACATTTGGCCAATAACCGCTGAAATATATGTCTTTGTGAGGTTTTTGACTGCCCTAGCTTCTGTACCGTAATTCCTCAAACAGAAGTGCATTAAAATTCTAGAGGTGGCTAGCTTGACCGGTTGTTCTCATATGGCGGCTCACTTGACTGCGGTCAGAAAGTAGGGCTGCACAATATATCGTTTCATTTTTGTTACTCATTTTTGGACTGTAATCTTAAGGTTTTTGCTAGATTGGTTTTAGTTTATGCTTTTGCTCCTAACTAATCTAATATGCATGCACAAATATATTATTGTACATCATCCCAGAAAATATGAATATATAGGAGAGAGCTGTATGTGAGGGGTGTATTCATATATGCTGAGCACTGCACATACAGAACTGTCAAATATAATATAATATAAAATAATATAATATAATACAATATAATAGTGTCAAATCACCCACATACCAAAGCATCCTTCCCGACAGTCAGTATGGATGTGTAAGCCTCCAGATAAACACGACTGCACTTCCGGATGATCTCCAGCCCTTTGACAGTGATGTCTTTAGCATCGCCCAGCCCGAGACCGACCAAATATAACATCTCTAAAGTGCAGATGACACCAAAATGCACGGGTACACGTCGCTAAAAGACTAAATCATTAAATAACACATTTACAAGCGCTTTGGAGAGATGTGAAAAAGCTGTCTGTCAACGAATGTCATGCAACTTCTGCTGTTGTGCAGAACTCGCATGGTACCACATGGAACAACTGACAACCGGCTGCCGTAAAGCGTAAAGGAGACCACGACAGTGTCGCACGCTGTAACCATAGAAACTACTGTAACCAACGGAGAAGAAACTGACTACCTTGAAGTAAAATAAAAGGACGATATGATTGCCCGTAAGTCATTTTAAAGTAATAACAATACTATATTATTCACATATATCTATAATGTATAGCTGTACCAAGTTAACCGTTGTAACAACTTGCATAATATTTGAACACATTAGCCATTATACTTATGTCATGTGATATTACGATATTATTATTATTGTTGTTTTTTTCGAGCTTTAAATTTAGCTTAATTTGATTTGTAATTATTAATAGTTATCAGTATTAAGAATAGCTATCAATATAACATAAATTATTCTCATTGTTATTATTATTATTATAGATGTGTGTGTGTGTGTGTGTGTGTGTGTGTGTGTGTGTGTGTGTGTGTGTGTGTGTGTGTGTGTTTTACTTGCATTTTCAAATTGCCTAATTTACTTGCATTATAGTATGGTGTATTTTAAAGTGTGTATTTTGTTAATTTCACGTTGTTTTGCAATATATTTACATTAATATAAGAATTAAAGCTAGACTTTTATATTATTATTTATATATCAATATTTTAAATAAATGTGCCACTGATTTTTAAATATTTAGTGTGGTTTATAATGAGCAGAAGTCTTTATAACTTTTTTTTCACATATTTTTCTTTGCGTGACCTATTGTTTTAACTCACAAATCCCAAACCACTCCAAAAAAAAAAAAAAATAATAATAATTAGGCACAATATGTGCAACTCTCATTAACCTCAAAGCCACACATTCAGACATTGTGCAAGTGCAGCCGTGTTGTGTAATTCAGTGCAAAAAAATCTGAATAATTGGCAAGTTCAGGGCTGATTACTGTGTTGTTTGCTGTTTATTTACTCAGTGAAGCCATCAGTATCACCCTCAAATTGCAGAGAAATTATGAAGATAAATGTGCGCACATTTCTTTCACAAAACCATAGAATGCACAGTTTTAAGACTTTCCTTGTTGCTGATTTATGTTTTGAGCAGCATTTTTCACATGCTTGGATGTTTTGGTGTTTTTAAAGATTGTTTGTGGATTTGGTTAAACGTGTATAATTCAATAATAATAATGTTGGATGATGTGCAGATGGTGGTGATAAAACGTGCAGATAATTCCCCTGTGTTATCTATGTGTTACATTCATAGCTGACTAATATGACTCATGATGTTATTCGGGATAAATCTGCGGTGCTTAATCACCATGGTTTAGCGGACCTTGAGCTTGACCTGTTTTATTTGTAGGTTAATAGGCTGTGAATTAGGGTGAGGACCTTTTGTTGCACGCAGCTGATACCTGTAATGAATGAACACAAAGTGCAGTCAAAGGTCTCTAATCTAAATATAAGGCTTACAAGCCCTGAAGGCTCACGGAGCATCTGGTCTCCACCCCCAGTGAACTTGTAACAGGAAACAAAAACAAAAGACTGTTCACATAGAGTTGATCAAAACATTAATACTATCTGCTTATTAAGGAAAGTATAGTAGAGTGTGCAAAGTCCTTTTAAGACTAAAAACATGTCAGCCATCTTGGCTACGTCCCCAGACTGCTTGTTGTTGTATCCTTGAGTAAGCATAACTGATGAAATCAGCACTCGATTTGTGGGACAATCACACCTTGGAGGAACACAATGGTTTTGTGAGCAAACCCAAAGTTTTTGGTGCTGGAAATGAAATATTTTGCTTGTAAATGCACATTTTTCTTGGATGAATTCAAACATTTCTTAAATGTAAAAAACGTTAAGAGGAACGCAAAGGTTCTGCATTTTTTTTAACAAAACTATTTTTGTTTTTACTTGAAATTTTTTTTTTTTCCTAAAGAACACTGTTTGGATTTTTTTTGAGTATCACTCTCAAACTAAAAAGGTTCAACAAGCAAACTCGAGGTTTCCCAGGAAAGTGCACATTCAAAGAAAGTGGACAGCAAAGATTTTGGATATGAACATGCAAAATTTTACCAAAAGTGTAGTATCAAGGAATACAAAGATTTCTTAAGTAAATATCTAGGTTTTTTTCAGGGGTTACAAAATTTGATCAATTTCTCTTGGATAAAGAAAATACAGTATTTCACAATTGAACACAAAATGTCTTGGGGAAATGCAATATTTTGACAAAGTATATCAAAATAAAGACAAAGTATGCCAATGTGGAATGCAAATATTTGATTAAAAAAAATCTAGTTTCTCAGGCTGCACTAAATGTTTTTTTCCTGGCAATGTAAACACCTTTGAGTGCACACAAAATTTGTGGTGGAACAAACATTTCTCTGCTGAACCCTTTAACTTCCTACTTATCAAATGTATGACCATGTTTTGATTGTTTTAAACAATGACTGTTAAAGTCATTTAAAGAATGACTGTTTTAAAAAATGGTTACGCTACACAGCATTGTTGGTTTACAAAAGAATCAAACAAACATAATCCTGTTACACTGGATTTTAGTTTTATTGTAAAATAAATGTATTGTACTTCAAAAAATAAAGATGGTTTAGTAATTTAAAAATGTTTTCTTTTGATTATTTTTTATTTTAGAGATTATGGGATGTCTTGAAAAATTGCTTTGAGTGTGTTAACTAGCGACATTAGGAGTTAAGAAATGCAATCCAATTTTTTTTGGTAGGGTAGTTAAAGGGTTAAAGAGATAGGGAAAGGAAATAATTATTTTAGGACAAGAAATATTTAGCAATTGAACAAAGTTTCTTAGAGAAATGCGGTAAAGTTTGGCAAGAAATCAAAGCACTCTTTTATAGGCAAAATGTAATTTTCAGTAAGCGCAATTATTATTGAAATATCCATAATTTATGTAAGAAATACCAGCCTGATCTCATGAGGAAGCATAACTATTTTACGTTTCGTCAGTTTAGTGGCTAATTTGTATGAATTCGTACAAAAAATGTACAATTTTAAAAAGGAGGCGTGGCACCCAACCCCGCCCCTTAACCCAACCATCATTGGTGAATGAACAAATCATATAAAATTGTATGAATGAGATCATTTGAATTCATACAAATTAACCACTAAATCAAAAATTTACGGATTGCTGTGAGATCGTGTTGGAAATACACTAATGTTTTTCTGCCATTTTTAGAGTAGTGTTAAAAAATGTACACAGCATATCTAGAAAAAGTGTTTCCATAAATATGCAGCATAACCAAACACTATAAAATACAAAAGGATTGAGAAAAAAAGTTGGTAGAGTAAAGCAGAATGCTTCTTTTTTTTAAGCACATCCCTCTTTTTATTGACTAAAGTTGCAGACACGCACAGAGGCGTTGTTGTTTACCTCAACTCAAACTGACGCATTAAGCACATCTCAGGCCGAGGTGTGTGAAAACGTATGACTGGTCTTGAGGCCTCTCCAGTGGAGCTTCCTCACATTTGTAAAGAGCAGAATGGACTCCGTCAGTCTGCATTGTGCCAGGCAGAATGGGCTTAGTGGAGCCTGGCAAAGAGAGAGTTTTTTTTTGCACCATGGGCTTTGGATCCGGTGCTGTCCATTCCACTGCCAGCGCTGCTCGCTGCCTCCCAGCTCGTTGCTAAGGCAACGGGACCAGGCCAGCATCTGAAAACAATTTGGTTCTTAATGAGAATTTACTTTGCGCAAATGGTGGGAAAATTGGGGGTGGGTGAGGGAGAGGTGAAGAGAGGGGGGGAAAGAGGAAGGAAGGAATGGGGTGCCTGGATCTTGCATACTTGTCGTGAACTTCCAAGGCATGCAGTAGGAATAGCCAGAATGTTGAGCGGTGGCCCCAGAAAAATTCAGTACATTTTTGCAATGATTCCACATTAGTTTCTAAAATGGAGTGGTAAACATCTCTTGTTTACAATGTTTACAATTGCTCTTTTGCTCAACTGCTAAGTTTACAATAGATAATAGCACTGATTTTTTGTGTGCAGCATTATGTAATGCTTCTCTTGGTGTGTGTGTATGAGGGGCATTGAGCTCTTCCTTGGATGGGGAACCAAGCCAGATTCCACTGGGATCCCCCCTTTGTACCCGTCTCCCTTTTCCCTGGTTTTGTTTGGGCCCAGTCAGCCAGTAGCAAATTGTCCCAGCAGAAAGGACCAATCTGGTTAGACTGCGGCGAGAGAGAGTGTCCCTACAGTAAAATTAACTGTTTGTCACTACCAGGATCTGGTTGTACCACCTCAGTATCAATTCAGAGCACCGGAGAAAAGGTTGCGGGGGCGGGAAATTGCAGTTTCTTTCTCCTAAATTTGTCTTGGTAGGAACTAATTGGGTGAATGTCACGAAAACATATCCGGGTCACGTTTCACTCAATCAAAATACTGTTTGTTTTCTTAGCACTATTAGCATGCGTTGCATCATTTACAATGCGTACAACATGTGCTATTCAAACTAATACACAACTCCTTTTTAATCAAGCTTCTCTATATCCATCCAAACAAGCCTACGACAATAAATATCTGATCATGCCTAGATCTGTTCAAATAATCCAATAACAGGAAGAGCGCTCCCTGTTTCCTATTCCTGTGCTCCAGGCATGAATATTCTCCCAGTGGCCAGCGCCTTCTCCCACGATTCTCAGTGGGAAGTCTCAGGCTCCTTACGTACATGGCCGCTGTGAGGCAGACATGTCAGGGGAATACTGAAGAATGCCTTTTTTTTTCTTCATGTGTTTCTTGTGTTTTCACTCCCCACCTTTTCTCCGTAATCCTCCCTCTAGGTTATACATAGCTGACAGCATGGAGCTCTGAATAGCCACTAATAGCCAGTGGGAGCAGAATGAGGAGGAAGAAAATAACGGGTGCTTCCCACTGATCCAGAGTAGCAGTGGTCAGGGGTGTCACTGATGGTGGTGGGAAGGGTGACTGAGTGCATAGGGTCCAGAGGCTTGAAGGTGGAGGTTTTCTCGGGTCGTTGTTTCAACACTTAAAGCTTCTTACCGGAAAACTAGATGCATTAGTTTT